CCAGACAAACTCCATGACTCCACCTGCGACCAGAGTCTCATCCCTTACTAGGGGTCCTTTCACAGGATTGTCATCAATATAGGGGCTGGTTACTTCAGGAGAATGTCTTGCATGACTTGGATCATATCCCTTTGAACCACTGTCACACCATTAGTCCAACCGAGAGGTACCACGCACATCTGAATGAACCCCCTTGCCATGTGTATGACAATCATTGGTCGGCTAGTGGGATCAATGAGAAAGTGATAATAGCCAGAATATAGATCAACTAAAGAATAAATGCATCGACCAGCAAAAGATTCAAAGAGGAGATCAGCATTAGGAAGACTACCTGCGTCACGTACCGTCACAGAGTTGAACTTCTGAAGATGCTGTATCCATCTCAATCCACCCCCTGGTTTCCAAAAGCAAAAACAGTGGTTAGCATACGGTCCATCAGCAGGTTCAGCAACGTTATAAACAATCTTCTTGTCAAGATATTTTACAACCTCTGCTTCTTCTTTCAGGGCATACTTGGTCGGCCTGTCATTCCATGGAACATGATCAACTGTCCAAATTTTGACCATCTTGATCATATCCACGTCCAACCGCTCTCTCTGAGAATTCACCTGAGAATTCCTGACACATTTTGAAGATATATTCTTTGAATTTCTTTCTCTTTAGGCAGGATAAACTGATCCGAGCCTATCTTCATTCTGTCAAATCTCTCTTTGGTGACCCTGTTCCCCAATTTTGCAGATTCTCTTAATGCTTTAATACTTTTTTTTTTTTTTTTCAATGCTTCATCATAATCATTTTCTATTAGGACTGCCACCGGGTTTTTCTTCACCCCCTTGGGCTTGTATTTTTTCTTTGACTCAGTGACTATTTTTCTAAAAAATGATGAGTCGATGCAAATTTTAATTTCATCTTTCCTCCCTTAGCAGTCTCTACAACTTTTTTAAATGCCTCAATTTATCCATCGTCATCTTTGAAATTACCAAGGGTCTTTATTATTTTCGAAACTTTGTTAATACCCACCGAAATTTCTTTTTTAACCTCTTGTTTGTCCTCTTCTCTTAGTCTTCTAATTTTTTCAGTAGACTCTTCTTTTCTGATTGAATTAGCAGACAATCGATGTTTGAAATAATTTTTAGTGCAGATCATAAAGGTCTGTTTCTGAGCAGTCTCAAGATCTTGTAGGCCGATCCAGGATGACCCCTTATGACCGAAAAATTGGACTGCCTCCATTATATACAAGAATGGAGTGCCCAAGATACACTCATGGTCCAACTCTGGCACTACAAAAACCCAGTAATTCCAATGACATAGTCCCAACTCTGATAGGCAGATTGTCAATAAATTCTTCCACAAAAAGTTCTCCTGTAATATTACTCAGTATATTTTGTGCAGGCCTATCAATAAATAAGTCACAAGCCTTCATTTTTCTTCGAAAAAGAAGAATCATCTCTGCCCCAAAGTCTACTAAGACTCGAATTTTCACTTGATTAATATAAATAGTCAGGTGCCCACATCCCATGGTTGCGAATCTCATCTTACAACCTAGTGATGATCTGTTCACCTGACTGGAAAAAATTGATCCCAAATAATTAACTTCTAATTTCTTCTTCTCAATCAGTTTTTTCAGTTCTTCTCTTATTTTGGGTGTTAGAGTCACTGCTTCCTTGAAGGACAAAGTCACTTCTGTCTCTTCAAACATTTTGGTAATTACGTCTGTAATTACTGTCTCATCTTCCAAATCACTCTTGAGAATAAATTTCCTCTTCCTTCCTTGTTCATTCTTCCTATGGGAAAGTTCTGATTTTGGGTTATCAAGAATATTAATTACAGATTCTTCAACCTTCCTTCTTTTCTTTTCTTCTTTCATTTGAGGCGCCAACCGTGCTTGAAGGTTTCTCACTTCGCCAAGCACGACATTGGGTTCCATGACGAGTTCTGGAGGTAGATCTCCATCAAATGACATCATGTTAGTTAGAAAGTGAGTTGTTTCATTAGAAGGAGATTCTACTAATTCAGAAGAGTTCTGAAAAGTAAGATTCCCTTCAATGGAGGCTCACTTGTAGATGCCTCGTCAGACGCATCCTCTGTTAATGTTAAGGATTGAGGAGACATCTCAATCGTGGTATGAGGGTCACATGTTTTCTGTACTAGTTCATTAGGCAACTCATCAATAAGAAATGAACATTCACATTAGTCTTTCTCTTCTTCTTCTTCTTCATTTTTTCATCATGTTTAAGAGCAAGAAGTCTCATACCTCCTAGATGTCTGGGATCCAACTTGTTCCATGAACTATCACAGACATGACCCATTGCATCCTTTTTCGCCACCCCACTCCTTACATCCTCCTCAAAAGGTCTGCAATAGGTAGTAGTGTGACCCCCTTCACCGCAATAATAGCAAACAAAACTCTTCTTAGGACGGTCATCATACTTCGTTCTTTCTCTGTTTCCTCTGTCACCATTCCCTCCATTCGTTCTGGATCTTAAAGAATCTCTCTTCTTACCATAACCCTCATCATCATCATCATCATCATCATCATCATCATCGTCCTCTTCACTTTCAGCTTTCTTCTTTCCTCTGCCATCCCCAACATGGTTTGCAGGCATTGCAGGCATATAGTTAACCATCACTCTTTGAATAATATTTTCAACACTCAGATTGTTCCCTCTGTTCATACCATTCTTAGTCTTTTAGTCCTTGGTCAATGTACTCATCTGATCCAGTGACCATTTCTTATGAGAAAATGTAGGTAGAGTTCTAACAATTGCAACCATTTCATCCCATCTGAGAGGGTAGTGTTGAGCTTAATTGAGAACTATCTGCCTTTCAGTGTCAGTAGAATTCGTCAAAAATATATGGCATCTCTGGGCTTCGTCAAAATATGGGATAGCCTGACCAGAAGGGCCGTGTGGTGCTCTCTCCTGAAAACAAGGACCGGAACCGGGAAAAACGAGATGACGCGGTGGTTGTCGTTTCCAGTCTGTTCTAGTGGTTCGGAGATGCCGATAGATGTAAGGGGTGGGGTATCCATCGTCCTCCCGAAAGAAGGAACGTGGACGGACCTGGAACCAGCGTATCAAACTATGATGCTGGACGAAAAGGACGCGTTCCTCTGGATAGAGACGATAGGGACTAAGGTCGGTCTGACGAGACTGTCGCCAAGCTTGATGGACCTGGAATTTCGGGGAACGGTGGAAGTCCGGGGGTGGGTCTACTTGTCCCAGGAAAGGAAAAACGCAAGGGTAATAGAATTAGTATTGGGAACGGCACCAAAATTGTTGTTTAGACAAGCGGAACGAGAAGTGGTATGGGCAGCGTGTCAGCGGGCGGAAATGGAAATGGACAAAGTGGAGGTGCGAGTAGAGCTCGGGGATAGAGGAAATGTGAGACGGCCTCTTAGGGCAATAAGATGCGTGCTACCCTCATTTCTGGTGGATGCGGTCTTTGGGACCAGGGGCAGGTTGGAGCAGATATGTCAGCCAATGACGAACTTGAGGCTGTACCAGTGCGCCCAGCAAGACTTCTTTAGACTGTCGGTAGAAATGGGGCCGTTCGGAGGGAACTGGGCGGAGGAGTTAGCATATATATTGAACCTCCTTAGCACGGATGACGTCTTTGTCCCTAGCCCAGTACACTGGCGGATAATTTATTGGAATGTGGTTGTAGGAGAGACCTTCCTAGAGGGACTGAAGGACTTGTTCTTTGTCGAGGAGGATGATTTCAGTGATGACGGGGACGAGGACGAGGTAGAGGATTGAGACTTCTGAGGGGGGAACGATGGCCCGAGATCTCCAGCTAAGGGACTGCACGTTCAAAGGATGGAAGCCGAGACGAGTCAAAGGGGAAATAGAAATGTCTATACCGACGGATAGAGAGTGGAGAGGGACCATGTGTGACTGGGTAGGACTTGAGATTGTACCAGAACTGTCGTACCTATGGATAGAACGTGTCAGGAACCCGCTAAGGGAAGAGGAAGGATGGGAGGAGATCGCGAAAGGAAGGGTGAAATCGGTTGGGAAGATTGTCCTCTCCGAGCAAGGGTGACACTTGTTTTGTACAACACTCACGGCGGGGCAGAACCCGATGTGGCTCCTAGGGGACGCTGAGGCAAGGGCTCGACAGGCAGGTGAGAAGTTTGCCAACAAAGGGTGGGATGTGGTCCGTAGTAAGGTCGTAATGAGAGGGTGGAAGAAGTTTAAGCCTCCCTGTCTACAAACTAAGACTTGGGTACCCGAGTTTGTGGCAGACTGGTTTGGGGGCTTTGATCACGTTATGAAAGTGGCCAGCACTATGGAGCGGATACATATAAATTGTGCAGGGCTGACGGAAGAGTTCTATAAAATATCGCTGAAATTTGGGCCCTTCCACGGCGACAGAGCTTGGGAGATCCTCATCATTTTGGATATAGACAGGAACGACAGGCTAGAGGTGGCCCCAGATATTAGAGAAGCTATAATCCGCCGCGAGGTAGCCGCCATGCCTTGCTATGTAGATGATGTGTTCAAACTATTCGAAGTACTGTGGTTCGACTAGGAGCAGGGAAAACCACAAAGCCAGCGGAGTGTCGAAAATTACTAAGATGAGGGGATGGGATATCTGAGCATTGTAGGGTTCATTGCGGATTGCGGAGTAAAGAAAACCGAAGACGGACGTGCGATGGCTCGGCGGAGAACGTTCCTTGAGGACCGCCCGCTGGGCATCGAGCCGCCAAGGGAAGCAACTGGCGGAGTAGAAATCAGCCTGCCTGCCACGAGTGAAGGGTGACACTCGGTGGTGGACTGGGTCGGGGTTGAACTCATGGAAAACACGGTTTACCTCCTAACCAGGGTTGAATGGCGCAAGGAGGAAAATGGCGAATGGAACCCGGACCCACGGGGACATGTGCGTGCGGAAGGTTGGATGTATGTGTCCGTGGATGGATGACGGGCGTTCGGAGTCTTATTGGCATCAGGGGAAGATCCGTTAAGTATGTTCGAGGGAGCATGGCTACTAGTGTGGCAGGCGGGGCTCGAGTTCACAGACCCGGAATTTGACGACGTAACGGTGAATCTTAGGGTAGCCATGTCCGGGAGCTTCGAATTGCCTAGTGAAAACGTTCGGATGAGATTGCCGCCCTTTTTACTAGAAATGTCAGGCGGGCTGGAGCTTGTCAAGCGGGCAGTAGCCGACCTCGTCAACCTGACGTTTGAAGACACGGTGGTCCACCGAGAGCGTTACCGGGCCTTCCTGGAAATGGGGTCATTCAGCGGTGAGCAGAGGTATGAGGTACTGCGAATCTTGCGCGCCGTATTTACCACTAGGCCTAGAGCTCCGGTTGTTAGCGATGAGGTTCTATGGGGGGTTGTTCGACAAGAGGTAAGGCGGGGAATGGCTTACATAGATGACCTGTACCGCTTGGATGAGCCGACGGAAGTAGGGACGGGTCGATAGAAGAGACAAGAAAAGAGAGGGGAATAAAAGAAGGAAAGGATATCGATTTAAGGACCTGGGAGTTGCCCGGATGAGCTCGAAGAAAGGATGAAATAAGTAAAACTCGCATGCTGTTTAAACTGTGCAGGGGACCGCTAATCAACAATGGCGATGGGACGCGCCCGGATGTCGCGACGGCCCACGCACCCTCGGCCACCCACGGAGAGTGGAGGCGGATGTGAGGTATCGCTCCCGGCATGCTACATGGTCTGAGGGATTGACAATTTGACACCGAATGGAGAGCTGTGACCTTGGGAAGGGATCAGGCGTTTATGATGGTAGAATGTTTGTGGAACGGTATGAGGTTCAATAGGGGGCCGGGGGACGACCTGTACACCGACTTGAAGGTGACAGGAACCGTATACCTACCGGAGATTGGATGACACATGCTAGGAACGGAGTTGGCACTAGGGCTTGGCTGTTACCAATCTTCCAAAGGGTTGCTAGGATAGTGAACCGGATAGGCCAGGAGGTGCGAGGAAGAAGGAACATGGGACTGAGAACCCGGATAGAGGTAGGAGGATGACGAGAGTTTAGGGCCCCGATGACGGGATTGCGATGCCGAGTGCCTCATTTTATGGTGGACCTAGTTTTTGGCAGCCTCTCGAGGGCAAGATACCTCGTGGACTCGACCCTAGTCTAGACCCACTACTTTCGGCCGCAGACGACGGGAATGTTTTACGATGTGTCAGTTAGGCACGGACCATTTTGGGGAAACCAGACCCATGAATTACTCGAAATCGTCGAAATCCTAATATTCGGGTTACCACACTTGGCGTTTGAGGAGTATAAACCAATAATTATAAGAGAAATAGAAATGGGACAAAATTATCTTGCGGGAGTGGCCAACCTGTTTGAGGAACCTGACGAGCAGGACAGGCATGAGGGGCCGGCGTGAGAAAAAGTATCGGGGGAAGGTAAAAAATAAAGTAAGGGCTGGGAATTGGAATGAGAAGTTAGCCGTCTGCAAGGGGGTAGTGGTCGGAGTTCCGCCTTACCTGAGGACGTGGCAGGAGGGAACTGGGAAGACCACCCGCGCTAAGGACGCTGGGGCATCCGGGTGTCAGGAAGTCAAAAGTGCTACCCTCGAGAGGAGAGCCGCTAGCCTCGGACACCGCCCTAAGAATCGGGGCACGGCAGTGACGGAATGCCAAACCTCGGCCGCGAGCCTTCCGACAGAAAAAGGTAGAACGACACTCTGTAGGAAAACGTCAGATGGGTCGCCCCGACTAATATAAGACGGAAAAACATGGAAATAAGTGAAAATGAGGGGGACCTTAGGGCCCGGGTACTCGGGAAGCTATTAACATCGGCCGTTTCGCAAAAAAAAAATTTCCATGTGCAGGGTAGGTAAAGGAATGGCGTCCGAAGAAGAGGCCGAAGGACTGAGGAACAAAGGGAGTCAGAGCACGGATCGGGGTGTGGAACGGAACGAAGGGTCGATAAGGGACCGAGAGTTACCAAAACTAGAAGGGACCAGGGAAGACGGGAAAGACCTTTCGATAGGGGAAAGTTCGGGAAAAACCGGGGGAAGCAAAAGAGGACCCCATGAAAGTAAGAAAAAAAGAGACAACGGTAGGTCGAGTCCTCGAAACTCAGACGAGACTACGCCCAAGAAAACCAAAGTCTCGGACGTGCGCCGTAAGCTGGCAGAAATAGAAAAGTGAACCGCAGAATATAAGGCGAGGCTTATAGAAGAGATGATGACTGGGAACGAAGGAGACCTTCAGGGAGAAGGGTCACGAGAGGAACGCAGGGCCAGCCAGGGCGAAGTCAGGCACGGAGGGAAGGGTAATAGTTATAGGGGAACACACAACAAGAAAGGGAAGGAAAAGGGGGACTCCCCGACCGTAGAAGCAGAAAAGGCTACGACCCCACCTGCTATGCACAATGGTGTTAGCCGTCTGCCTGCCACGCCGAAAGTAACGAAGGGGTGCGACGGACTTTGGAGTCTCAGAGAAAGGGTGTCAGGATGGTTTGATCCGGAGGGTACGCCAAAGGCCGAGGAAAAGCAGAGGGACAGTAAGGAAGGAGAAGGGACCAGTACAGCCGGTGAAGCAGGTAGCTTTGATGGAGGTCTCAAGAGGATAGTAGCCACCCTCACTCGAGCTCTGAATAAGAATCAGGGATATCTTGAGGACGCCAAGAAGAAACTCATTTTTGACGGGGCGAACATTACAGAGTTCCTGATAGACTACGAGAACCTAGCAGCCTTGTTGAAATGGAGTGAGGAAGAAAAGATGGACCACTTAGGGCGGCATGGGTCGTTAAGCTTAGGAAGGGACATTATGGCTATCGTCGCCGCTAGTGGATCGTGGAAAGAGACCCGAAACGAGATGATGAGGAAATACCTAAAGGCAGAGAAAATGGCAACAAAAGCTGAGTTGGCAGCGGTCCAAAGGAAGAACTATGCGACCTACAATGGCTTCCTGAGGGCATTTACCCTAGTAGCGTTACGGATTCCCGGGGTAACAGACCGGATAATGAGCAAGTATTTCCTTAGGCAGTTCTCCGAGTTCGACAAAGATAAGATCCTATCGGCCTACCAGCAGATTAGTAAGTTTGAGTACACAAGGGATGTGGACTTCAGCACAATAACAGACCTCGCAGAAAAGACAGTGGTGACCGAGACGCCAGCCCTGCTTAAGGAAGGAGAGGTTATATACCTGACCGGAAAAACAGGGGATAAGGTCAAGAAGGGGATAGAAAGCCTGCATGAACGAGTGCACGGGGTTGATAACAAGATAGAAAGAGTGGAGAACGCGCTACTAGTAATGCAAGCGCAAGTATCCCGCCCCGCCCTCCCGCCCCAAGAGGCCGTAGTTCCGGCAGCAGTAGCAAATCGAGGGTATGGCAGGAGGGATCTGACCAATGAGCAATGCAAGTATTACACAATGATCTGACATTTTGTGCGGACCTGCCCAAGACTCAACCATGATATTATGAGGCAAAGATGCAGTAGGTCCCTTAAAGGTGAAATTTTCGGGCCTCAGGAAGAGCGCATAAACTGGAATTCGCCAAGAGGGATGCGGCGTGTCGTCATCATCCTAAATATCCCACAAGTGGTTATCACATAGATGAATATTCACAGATGAACGTTCTGAAAGTGAGAAAAATTAAGTGATTTTTCGGGTTTGAATTCATGTTTGTATGTGATGAATCATAATTGGTAATTGTGAAAGCTTGGGGTGCAAGATGTTATTCATGGTGATTTTTTTTTATTTTTTATTTTTTCGTGAACCATTATGAAGGAGTTGATGCCCTGAAGGCCTGAAAGCACCCCCCCCAACACTGAGGATCCTGAACGACCCTGAAGAGGTGGATGTCGTTCATGGCATTCACCCCTTCAGGATTAATCATAGTCTTCTTAATGTTTTTTTTCTTTTTTTTCTTTTTTTTCTTGTGAACCATCCTGAAGGGGTGAAGGCCCTGAAGGCCTGAAAGCACCCCTCCCCCCACCCTATGGCTCCCATTGTTAAGCGTCGAGGATCCTGAACGATCCTGAAGAGGTGAATGTCTTCGGTGGTCTGAAAGCAGGGAGTCAAATAGAGGTGCGATGGTTTTCAAGACCTTCACCCCTTCATGATAGTGAGAGCCAAATGGGGGGTTGCTTTCAGGTCATTCAGGGCATTC